AAACTATCCGAAGACTTGACATTATGGAAACTATCAGAAGACTTGACATCACAGAAACTATCAGAAGACATGACATTATAGAAACTACCAGAAGACTTGACATTATAGAAACTATCAGAAGACATGACATTATAGAAACTACCAGAAGACTTGACATTATATAAACTATCAGAAGACTTGACATTATACAAACTATCCGAAGACATGACATTATACAAACTATCATAAGACATGACATTATAGAAACTAGTTTCGACACATTCTGCGATCTCTTTACTTTCACGTTGTTTTCTCTAACTTCAAGTCTTCTGACAGTTTGTTCCGTTTACTGTGGTTTGTCACGAACTACTATACACAATAGTATGTTCTTTTAGTACTAATTCACAGCTCAAACACGTGGTTTTGATAAAGTTGTTTTGGATGGAAGTTCGTATTCTATCTAAACTTTTATTCTACTTTTTACCAAGTTTACTTTAATTAACGTATATTACAAAATTAATTAGTTTAAAATTTTTATTTTCTAACTGGATTATGGCTGACTTATAACTAAAATGAATATTCTGTTTGGTTGAATATTATTTGTTCTAGAAATAGAAATATGGCTGAGTTGCACAACATCGATAGAAATTGTTTCTCTTATGTCTGCTATGACTGGGGTAAAACTGATTCAATATTCTTTCTGATATAAGTGGACTGATGAAGTTTTGTTTGTGGTATAATGGTACTAATGAAGATTTATTTGTGATATAACTGGAGTGACGAAGCTTTGCTTGTATTATAATGGTACTAATGTAGTATAATTGAACTGAAAAGGTTTTTATGAAATATAACTGGACTGAGTTTTGTTTGTGATATAACTGGGCTGATGGAGTTTTACTTGTGTTATAATGGGTCTGATGAAGTTTTGTTTACTTCATAATGGGACTAACGAAGTTTTGTTTATGTTATAATTATTTGACTGATAAAGTAGGTATGTTATTGTTCTTATCTTATTTTTCAATTTTTTTTCTGGTATAACAGAATCAGCTAATCTATTTAATTAAAAGAGTAACGTGATGTGTGTGCGTGTGAGGGGAAACTTTTTAAGCTTCAGTAAACCAGTCAAAAATGAAATTAGGAGTAGGGATGTACATATACGACATCACCATATGTGCAAGGGAGGGGTGGGTGTAGATAGTACTTTGCATTGCAAAGGGGAAGGTATTCGGGAATGGATCTGACACCCCTCAGAGCTCCCTCTCAAGCAACAGTATTTATGTGTGAATTTCTTCATTTGTTTATAGATACTTAAAGTATCGGTACCATCACGCTGTTCAATAAGGAGATGGAACCAATATCACTGAGTTTTAATACTTGTCCCCGATAGCAAGGTTTTGAAAGCGTCGCTAGATTTGATGATTCTTACTAGGTAAGTCGATCGGTTTGTCATTTTTGATCAGACCATTCGGCTTAAAATGTCTTTTGTGCTAAAGGTGTGTGTGCTGGATATCACGTGTTGTGGATTAAGTTTAACCTCGCAGTCATGTGACGCCTCGTACGGCCAGCAAATTCGTTCACTACTCTACGTAAGTAACCTCATATGTGTGTAGTCTAGACAGGTCACTTAACTGTTTTAATTACTTTAAATAAACAGCATTGCTTTACAGTTTATAAACTTTGTACATTCAAATACAAAATACCACAAACAAACAAACAAAAAAAAATGTTTCGTACGCGAAACACGAGTCCTCCACCCTAGTTAGATATTATACCTTGGCTTTATGTTGCTTCTGGGGTGACTGAGATGGTCACATTTTTTAGACGCTGCTTACGTGTGTTTTTATATTAATTTTAAATATTGTTTATTTTGTTTATATTAACGAGGAAGATCAAATAAATGAGCTGGATATGGCCTAAAGGTTAACGTTAGAAGCAGCGTGATAAGCCGCTGAACATTATTCGCTCTTTTATCTATGGGTGCGTTATAAAAGTGACTGTCAATCTGAATTGAGTAACCGTGAAGGTGGCGAGTCCTTCTAACTTGTTGCTCTCCCTCTGGTCAGCCGTTTAAAATTAGGGACGGCTATTATTTAACCTTATACGAAATGCCAGATTAGAAATCCTGTGTGGCACATACGTTGACGTTCACATTGAAGATACCGAATATCTATGATGTAAGTAAAATCCTTTTTTTTTAAATAACATAAATAACATGATTAAAGTTATTATTTTTACACCCAATGATAATA